GAACATAAACGTAAATAAGGAATCCTTGAAACAAGCGTGCCCTTAATCATGCATAAGCAAGCGTCTCTTCAAAAAGTGTATTTCTTTGCTCACAGCTAAGATTCGGAAGTTTTGTATTTCATTTGGCGTGTGAAGGCGATAACTGCTGCCTGTCAGGGCCCGACTCTTGTGTTCACCCTCTTTGGTGGCACATGGGGGCTTAGAGCTCTATCCTGAGGTTCCTAAACCAGAAATGGGAATCTGAGGGAGCTCAGGAACAGCAGGCTGAGCTAGTTGTGGCTGTTAAACAGAAGTGCTTTGGGGCACCAGATCCCTTCTAGCATCATCATTGTTCCCAGTCATTGCTGCGCCACGTGGAGTGTTCAGTCTCCCGTTCCCATCATGATCCTCTGTCGCTCAGTCTGTGTGGACATTGTAGGCTTCGTTCTTTGGTACAGTGACCTTCTGATCCCAGGTTTGATGAATGTTTTCAACACTGCTTTGTGAATAGTGATCTGCTGAACAATTGCAATTGTAGAATTGTTGTATGTAATGTACATATGGAGAAAGAATGTATTTTGTTCATTTTCTTAATAAAAAGTTATATATGGACACTACAGGTTATCTCTTGTTTGCTAAGACTACTTTTGAAGTCAACTTGTAAAATGTTTATGTACTTTGCAGTTACATTTTTTTTCCCTCAAAAAGGTTTTATCCGGGCTTCCAAAGAGGAAAATGATACACAGTGTAGAAGGGCCTTTGGCACGAAGTTTCTGGGGAGGTTTTCATTTTTAAAGAACTGTAAATTCATAAAATGAGGAGCTGATCGGGCCTCTACTAGGGAAATGCCAGTGCGTGCCCTACAGCCACAGAGTTCATAGGAATTTTAATTTTTTTTTCTGTAGATGAAGGCAGTATTTTTTTTTTTTACCACTAACCCTTCCGATTTGGAGGGTGTCCTGTGAAAGGCTGGTGGCTATCCTGAAGCCCACGGTAGTCCTGGCATAACCTTAAATACTAGTTGGTTACATTCCTGCTTTTCTTCAGCACCACACAGCAGGCACATTCTCCTTTCCTTTTACATATCTTGGAAGGAGAAAAGGTATGTGGACCCACGTCCCGCGTGGTTCAGGGTTCGGGATCTGGAGAAGGGGCCACACGCAAGTAAAAGAGACAAGAAATAATTTGGAAATATTGGGGGCCAGGCGGAAAGCCCCAGTGCAAGAGAAAAGACTTCCACTGGTGCCCAGGCCTAGCCAACCTTTTATTCAATTTTGGATACACATCTAGCTCTTAGGCAGGTAATTGTGGTAACAGACAGACAGACTTAAAGGTCAGTAAATGTTAGAAAGATTGACTCTGAGACTATTTGGTCAGGAAATAGCTTGAGCCCCCATTGTCTGGACTAAACAATCGGTGCATAGCTCTGGCCCTTGCCAGGGGCTCAAGGTTCACCAGCCTTCCGGGATCCTTGTTTACACTTCTCTGATAGTGAAGACAATGGGTGGCTTCCCGCAAAAAAGAAGAGGAGACGGCTTTCTGTGGCTTAGGGAAGGTGGCAGGACAGCATGGTGCTTGGACTAGCCCATCGTCGTTACTCTGAAGCTTCTCATATTCCCAGGGACTTCCTCCCTCAGCTTTCACTTGGGAAAAGCAAAGCCATCAGTTCCATCTAGAAATATTCTTCCAGGGAAGAGACAAGCTGTAGGTAGAGGTGGCCTGTCTCCTGCTGTGCTGCTAAATTCTGATGGTTGGCAAACCCCAAGAGTGGAGATTAAGACACTGGCGATGTCTACTGCATCGAATGTACAGCTGCCCGCTGACCGTCGGCCGCGGGAATGGGTAGCCAGGGCAGGAGTCAGCAACCGAGGTTTATTTCCAGATCGGGCATAGTCTCAACTTCTCTGCCTCACTTTCTCATCTCTTAAGTAAATGTTGGCAGCAGATCTTGTTTGCCAGGATCCCATTGACTCTTTAATCTGTAACATGCCAAGATCCTTGAAAAATACAAGCGATGTCAGTATTCATATTAGTGTTAACTATAATAGCCAGTCCTATTCTTCACTCTTCCCCTTGGGGTCCAGAAGAAAGGATGGGGGAGACTGAGTAACAAAGAGGCATAACAAATAAGAAATGACAACAGAGTGGCTCTGGGTTGGCAGGGTAGAGAGGAGGGTGAAGGACCTATTCAGGAAGAGAATGGAGTCTTAGGTCTAAATTGCAGCCAGCAATAAGCTATGAGTCACTCTCTTAGAACAGTGTGCCTCCAGCATGGCCCAGGGGCCTGGCAAGGTCCTGGTACTTGTATTCCTTCCTTCTGTATCCCTGGCACACTCTTGAAGTTAACCTCACAATACCCCTGGCCCAACTCTGGTCCACCCGTAAGGGTGTTCACTGCCTTTCAGAACCCCCACATAAAATCATATTGTAGCAGCGGTTGCATTCTAGAAATGTACTCTGTTGTTGGGGCTCAAGCATTCATGTGGTATTGAAAAAGGAATGTAGGACTGAGAGAAAAGTTGTAGATCCAAGGCCTAGCGCTGCCATTTAAACACCTGCCTGTGAAACCTCAGAGAATCTGTAATCTCTGTACCTAATTTCCCTATTGGTAGTGGTGATAGTTCCTAAATAAGAGATGTAAAAGTATTGTAAACTGTAAGATGTTAGGCAAATGGGAGCGATTGTATAGCAAGTATGAACGTGGACCAGATCCGTGTTCCCCTCTGGAAGCTGGGACTGACAGCCCTTCCCTGCCGCACGGACACACAGCTAGGTCACACCACCTACAGGAAGAGAATCGAGGCATCTTCGAGCATCTTCGAGTGATGAAGGGCTGGCAGAGGCTTCTTGTGACAATAGATCGGTGGTTCTCAACCTGTGGGTCACGACCCCTTTGGGGGTCAAACAACCCTTTCACAGGGGTCGCCTAAGACCATTGGAAAACACATATATAATTACATATTGTCTTTGTGATTAATCACTATGCTTTAATTATGTTCAATTTGTAACAATGAAATTGGGGGTCACCACAACATGAGGATCTGTATTAACCCTTTGCGGTCGTATTAAATTTGGACATGGGTGTCGTACTGGTCGGAATTAATTTCCATTGAAAGAGCAGTGATACATAACATGCAAGATTATGAAGGATAAACAAGATTTATTAATTCTTTTTTGGAACTATGTCACTACTAGTAGAATCACTACAAACGTTATCACTTTCTACGTCAGAGTCAGTATTCAAGGTGCCAAAATAAAACTCTTCATCGTTACTTTCAGATTCCCAGTACACTTCTTTCGGTAACTTTCTTTTTGCCATTTTGGAGTATTATTTTGAAATATCTTAACAAGTGAGAATGCCCAATTACAGTTAAACGTAATTTGTAAAGCTTTATTTGAAATTCTGCGAAGTATCTCCGAAGCTTGTCAATTTCTTCACTCTCAAAAGGCGACTGACTCGCCAGGGTGTTTTGCATGGCGAGTGTGGAACGACCGCGTTTGTTTATATTGACTTTCGATATCTCCGATTTGTCGGGGCAATGTTTTGGTTCGTGACAAGGTCGCTTAGACACTTAAGAGCTTTCAGAGAAATTATGAACTGGTACATGAATGAATAGAGTTAAGATTCGTACGGTTCCTTGCTGTGGTGGCTGAGAGCAGACATACGACCGGAACGGTAAAAAAGCTTTGGTGGCTGAGAGTAGACAAACGACCACAAAGGGTTAAAGGGTCGCGGCCTTAGGAAGGTTGAGAACCACTGCAATAGATCCTTTTGTGGGCAGGAACGGGACCAGGGCAGAACTTCTGTTTATTTTTTTAAATACTTTCGTCTCCATCGGTGTTTTCACACCTGATCAGGGTGTGGTGCTGGGTGGTTCACAACTGTGTCTGTCGCAGAAGCAGAGGGAAGAGGTGAAAGTGATAAAGCAGTGTTGTGAGGGGCAGAGGCCTTTCGTGCTGAGACTAGAGCAGCCGGCGGTAACCCGGAGACCCCGTCACCTCCAGAACCCCGCGCTCCCCTTCCTCCCTGTCAGCTCCCCCCCTCTCTCGGGGCCCAGATGCCCAGCCGGGGTCTCTGCACTCGCAGCAGGTGCGCAAGCGAAGAACGCGAGCCAGTCACAGCACAACACTGGGACCAAACCAGCTTACACAAAAGCACTTTAATGGACAGTATACAGTTTTCAAAAATATATTTTTGTAAGAAAATGGCAATAATTAAGTATAGCCTTTACAAAGAAGTTTCTCAGTAAATTCCAGTGTACTTCAGACCCCTGTCCACCAAGACAGCCTCCTGGGCAAACGGTTTAACATCCACTAGTTACAGAAAGACGCACATCCAATAGCGACCCCCTCTTCTCTCTCAGTGTTGGGGTTGCACCAGGCCTGCGTGAATCTGCCTTTCCTCATCTTGTTCCCTTTGATCCTTGGTCCGCTAGTAGCAGATGCATATGTAACAGCTCATTCAAAGCTGTTTTCTTGACAAAAGAATTGTTCATTTAAGTCTTAGACCTGAATAACTAGGAGAAAGTGTAGAAGACCAGTAAGGTTCCTATTGCTGCCTTGCTGCAGGGCAGGATGGAGAAGGGAATTCTGTCCTTAGGGGGTGTGTGTGTGTGGGGGGGGGTGGCCTGTGCTCGATTAGCAGTCCTGAATTTAGGGGTTCTCTCTGGGGCACAAAGCACTGGGCAGGCTTCCAACACAGGTTTTAATCCTGTTTCTGTCACTAACTATGTGACTTGGGCCACATCACTTTATCTTTCTGGGCTCCAGGTTTTCTGTTTAAGATAAAAACAAGAAGATTGGCCGTAACCGGTTTGGCTCAGTGGATAAAGCGTCGGCCTGCGGACTGAGGAGTCCCAGGTTCGATTCTGGTCAAGGGCATGTGCCTTGGTTGCAGGCACATCCCCAGTGGGAGGTGTGCAGGAGGCGGCTGATCGATGTTTCTCTCTCATTGATGTTTCTAACTCTCTCTCTCCCTTCCTCTCTGTAAAAAATCAATAAAATATATTTTTTAAAAAACAAAAAAAACAAAAAAAAAACAAGAAGATTGGACTAGGTCTCTACAACCCCCTTCCTGTGACTGGTGTGTCACTTTCCAGCCAGGGTAGCCCTCACTGTACAGGCTGGACTCTGTGGGGAGTGTGAGGATCGAGTTTCAAATGAAAATGCCCAATGCCAGACAAACACTGTGTCATCAGCCTGTCTTCTATTTCATTTTCATTCAAGAGACATCATTTCTAGTAAAACAGACGTTCACATTCCTGTTCAGAGAAAAAAGCCAACTCTCTTACAAATGTTTTTCCAGAGAATACTCACTTAAAGCCGTGCTGGGTGAGTTAACGTGGCCGTTTTATATACATTACCGAAATATCTATAGATGTATCAGCTTGAACTCGTTTTTCAAAGTTTCTCCAGCATATTGTCCAAAAGGATAAAGCTCAAAAGTAGTTTAAATAAACTTTCTGCTAGCTTTTACGGCAAGAGGGGGGGGGAAAGAAATCTGTCTAGATTAAACCCGTATTCTCTCTCACGATTCCAGAATATTCTGTTCGTCCTTCCAAAGCTTTGCCGCTTCTCTCGCTTTCATGGCAGCACACTTCCCACAGGGTTTGTCCAATCGTCAGATTCACGGCTTCTGGCCTTTTACGCGGCTCAGGGGAGCCAGTGTGTCACAGCAGGAAAGGGTGTATAACCTCTCTGTGGGTACCACCTGCTTACAGTCAGCTGTGTTCCTGGCGGGCTCCTCTCCTCAGCCCAGGACCTGGCTTCCCCACAGCAGTTAGAACCCAGGAAGGAGACGGGAAGGCCTTTACGGGTGCGTGGCCGTGCGGCCTTGACATAGATGTCTAGTGGCAAGAGCAAGCCAAGGCCAGGGACTGGACTCGGAAGTTGCCCCAAAGGCTGGAGAACACACTTTGGATGCACCAAACAAAGGAGCCTCTGGACCAGCCCAAAGCTTCTCAGCTTCTTGGGCAGAACCAGTCATTCCTCCGGACCAAGCTTTGCTAAGCATCATCGCTCCCCACCCCCTACCCAGCCAGGCTTGGGGGAGCGGCTTGGGCCAATTTTCAGACATATTTGCTGTCTCTGAAGGCCGAGCTGGGGAAACACGACCCAGAATCGGCAAAGGAGGAGAATCCTGGCCCCTCCCACAGTGGCCACGACAGACCCACCAGTTAGGAAGAACCAAACACGGGGCAGAAAGGAAGCAAACGTCTCTTCCCAGCATAACAAGATTTCCTCTTTTCCCCAAACCGGCATCGTTCTCCCTCCTGCCAACTCCACACACTAGAGGATCAGGGCAGATGATTTGGGATCCTTGTTGGCCTCGAATCTCTCTAGCTCTTGGGAAAGCCATTGGGGCCCCAACTTGAACCCCAAGGCCAATGGGCTAAAGGCTATGACGAAGGAATCGGGCAGCCAGGGAAGGACATAGAGCTTCCCCCTCAGCTCTAACCCTTTAAAACAAAGAACCTAGCCCAAAGCAGAGAGCCGACTTCATCAGAGCCATGGCAGGGCCTGCCTCTAGGTTCTGGAGTCCTGGCTTTTTCTCATTCTCCTGAGCAGTGCTGCCCATCTTCCTGGCTGGTTCCAGGGAATTGAGACCCAGGAACAAGAAACCTTGGGCAACGTTCAAAACTCCACACAGGATTCTCTCTTCTCGGAAAGTCAGATTAAGCCTCACTCTGCCCAGTCCTCAGGCGCTGTCTCCATGGCCCTAACTGCTGAGCTCCCCCAACATCCCTCCACTGAGAAATATTTAGTTTCCCTGAGATGCCGCCAGAAACTCAGGACAACTGGGCAGCCCCCTAGGACACGGTTCCTAGGCAGAACAGCAAGGCCACTGGGAAGAGACAGACGCCCGGTCCCCCAGGCTGCCCCGTGCGCGCCTTAAAACGCACACCGCACATTCCCTGGGGCTCAGGAGACTCCCAATCGGTGAGATTACCTGCCCGAGAGCCTCCCTATAAATTGAGCTTTGGCCTTGGGCAGTAGAGGGCTGGACTGAAAATCAAACCAACGGACACATCAAAATAACAAAACGCTCAGCAACTTGCAAAGTCCCTGAGTTTCCTATGACAGAGAGAGTAAGCCCATCCTCCTGGCTGTTTCACCCGACTGTCTCTTGAGGACACCTCTCCGCTGGCTGGGGACCCGGGAGGTCCTTCCTGAAACTGCTCATTCACACTGGATCTCGGGGGAAGGGGGTCCCTAGCTTGGGTCTCACCCCATCTGATGAGCAGTAAACAACAAACTACGAACACTTTGCCTTCAGTCGCTGCTGTAGATCGAAGTTCCCGGTGGACACGGGAGGCCAAAGGAACACAGTGGAGCCACCCCGGGAGGAAGGGCTTCCCCTGCTGCTCACTGTAGACAGACCCCTTAGCAGACCTCGTTCACACTGGGAGTCCTGGGTGGGTTATGTCCCAACCTGCTAAGCAAAGGCTAAGAAACCAGAATTCAGAGCAAGGGGTTCAAGGTCATGAATGACTTGTGAGTCCCAGGGCACCAAGGCAGAGTGGGGATAAAAACTGAGTGAAGGGAGGGGGAGGAGCAACGGGGATGGGAACACTGACAGACGAGGCTGGGGTAGGACGCTGCACTGGGGACCCCGACTTTCAAGTAATCAGATCCCACTGAGACAGGGCCTGGCCCCGCTCTCCCTTCTGCCCCATCCGTAGGCTGCAGCCTCACCCCTGCCCAGGGCAGCTCTGGAGGGAGGACGACGGTGATCCCAGCACGTGGCAAGGTGGGGATGAGCACTGGGCTGACGGAGTCTGTTTTCATCCTGACTCTGTCACCAAGTGGCTGTGTGACCTTGACCTTACCCTCCGTAGGCCTCGGTCATCTCGTCTGCGAAACGAAGGGATTCTACCAGATGATCCCTAAGGTCCCTCATATGGCTCTTTCTTTTATTTCTCTTCCTCATCTTCCAGCAGCACTGAGCTCAGGCACTAGTGGGTTATTTTACAAGAGGAATCTAGACAGAATGTGATTTGTTCAGCTTGAAAAGGGAAATATTAAGGCCCTGTGGGGACTGGAGGGCGGGTCCCTTTGAGTCTGCTCGCCCCCCACCCCCGTCTTTCCCTCACGTCGGGAGGACTCTCCTCCCCTGTCCAGTTGGCACTTGAGGTGGTTCAGTCTGGAGCTCTGTGCCCTGTCGGCGGCGCCAGCAGGCCTGATTAGAGGTGTGTGTCCTCCTCCTCGTCCAGGTCATCCTTGATCAGGTTGTCCAGGGGGACGATCCAGCTGTCCCCCAGCTCCCCATTCAGGTTGACCACCTTTTTCTCCTGCATCTCTGATGAGGTCTCCATCACTTCCAATGTTGGGTTGTCATGGTAACCATTCTCCACCGTCTGCAGCTCCTCTGTGAGTCGTTGCTAGAGTGGGGAAGAGGAGTGAAGAAGAAAGGCAATCTGTGGGGGCTATTACCCTTAACGTAACACAGTTAAGTTAGGGTTTTTCAAAATGCTGGTCCCCTATAATCCAGGAACCCCCATTTGGCTAGTGTGAGCAGTAAGTGCTCTTGGAAGCCACCCTGACGACTGGCCTGCCTCAGGGCTGGCGGGACAAGGGCTTCCTCAAGTTCCCAGCTCACCTCACCTTCGCCCCGGTGACTTGTGTGAGTGGAAATGGGCTTCGTTCTCCAAAGTCCTCCAAGTCCCTCCTCCGTCCCCTCCCCACAAACCTTACTCTCCAGGCGCCTGCCTCACCGCACCGCACTGCACTGGGAGGAACTCCCTTTATTCAGACGGGGGCTGAGGACCTCTCTGGGCGGAGCACAATGGGCCCAGCAGAGCGTACAGCCACCTCTGCCGCAGACAGTGGCCGCCTGGAGCCAGGGCTTATTCCATCTGACCTGAGATTCACCCTGCGCGCACAGTGGCGTCAGCTGATCCAGAGATTCTGTCTCAAATGCCGTGTGGGAAGCTGGGCTTGGGGGTCGTTTTAAAGCTCGCCCAGTGCGCAGCCAGGGCTGAGAACGGAGTCCGGGTGGAAGCGGAGTGGAAGAACTGGCTCGAAAGGCGTGCTACGCCCCCTGACTTCAGTGACCCCTCAGAGCGGCTCCGCACGGTGGGTCTTCTCCCCGCTGTGCAGATGAGGAACCTGGTGCTGAGACTACATGACTTGCTCGAGGTCACGCAGACAAGAGCGACAGAGCCGGGGCTAAACCAAGGCTTTCTGACTCCAAAGCCCACGTTCTCCCTCCCACCAGGCTGCCGCTTCAACTGTCCAGGAAAGTGTCCATTTCCTGGAAGGGCTGGTGTCTGCCAGGGTCCCCGGCCCACTCACTGGCCTCTGCTACGGGAACGGTGGGGTGAGAGTCCCTGGCAAGGGGCGGGGTGCTCACCTGGTCCTTCCTCTGAGAGAGGCGCTGGTGGCAGCAGCCGTACAGGGCTGCCACGAGGAGCAGGAAGGAGGCCATGCAGACGATGGTGATGATGAGGGGCATGCTGAAGCGGTCCTCCGTCTCTTCCGGGGGTCCTTGGCCCCCCAGCTGCAAGTCACTGACTCCCACCTGGCCAGGAGAGAGGAAGGTGTGTGGCAGAGAACAGGTCCCAGGCCTCCTCTCTCTGAATTCCCACTCATTCAGGAGGTCGTCCGCTCCGGGTGGGGCCTAGGGCACCGCCCTGCTGTCCCCTCTCTCGTCCTCCTGTCTTCTAGATCAGTGATGGCGAAGCTATGACACGCGTGTCACAGGTGACACGCAAACTCGTTTTTTTGGGTTGATTTTTCTTTGTTAAATGGCATTTAAATATATAAAATAAATATCAAAAATATAAGTCTTTGCTTTACTCTGGTTGCAAATATCAAAAAAATTTCTATATGTGACAGGGCACCAGAGTTAAGCTAGGGTTTTTCAAAATGCTGACACGCCGAGCTCAGAAGGCTCGCCATCGCTGCCCTAGATGCTGGCAAACTACAGGTGCCTCTACAATGAGAGAGACGCCGTGGAGCAAAGTAACGGGGGCCCCTGAGCCCTCGGTCCTAGCACGTGGGAGGAGCCACTTACCTCCTTCAGGTCATCCCATTTTTCTTTCAGCGGCTCATAGAGGTCCTTGGGCAGGAGTTTGGCTGTGGGGAGGGAGAGATGCCGCCTCAGTGGTCTGGCTCAGTGATCCGGTGAGGGACAGACGGGGCCCCACCAGGAGGACATGCTGTATCCCCACCCCCTGAGCGGCCTGGGAGGGGGTCTCTGGGGCGGCCCGGGAGGGGGTCTCTGGGGCGGCCCGGGAGGGGGCCTCTGGGGCGGCCTGGGAGGGGGTCTCTGGGGCGGCCCGGGAGGGGGTCTCTGGGGCGGCCCGGGAGGGGGCCGGCTTGACGATTCTTAGGGAACGGAGGGAGCACCGCGCTGACCCATCTCCAGGGCTCCTGAGCTGTCACCCCTCCTGCCCCATCCCCACCCACAAAGGGCTCAGCCCCCCTTTGCCCCCAGCTCACTCTGGATGGTGATTTCTTTGATGGCCACGGCCTGGATTTCTAGAGCAGGCACCACGCGTATATGGCACTGATCTTGACTTGGGTTGAAGCTGGCCTTTGCTGCTCGGCACAGAAGTGTAATCAGCTTGTCATCCAGAGAGCCGCCGGGGTGCCCCGCCTGAGTGGGAGACCACAGGTGAGTCCTCAGGGAGCCTACAGCAGCCCAGGTGTGGGGCTGCCCTTCGGAAGCACAAACCTGTTTCCCTCTCCAGCTTCAACTGGGGCCATTCCCAGGCCGGCCAGGAGTTAAGAGATCTGTGCTGTTCTGCAGGACAGACCCTGCCCTCCACGCCCCGTGCACCTCTCCGCCGCCAGTCCCCCACCCTGTTTATCTTGTCCATGTGGAAAAGGCCTTTCACCCTAATGCCCCTCATCATCTCTCTCCCGAGAAGGGGCTAGAGGAGGTACAGCCACTCCTCCTCCCCCCGTGGGAAAGCCCAGTTCTCTCTGAGCTTCTCTCCAGCCTTGACGCCCAGTTCACAGACCTCAGCAGAGGAAGCCATAGCTCTCCTGAGGTTCAGGGTTATCTACCCCAGAATTGAAACATGTGCCTCTTCCCTGGAATAAGACCCTCTGAAGCCATCAGCAGGCTGACAGCATGGAAGGCGGGGCCGTCACTGAACAGGGAACCGGGGAGTATCTTGAAGATGCAGAAGGGGACATCTCGGAAGGGGGCTTTCTATATTCCTAGGGAGACACTCCTAGGGAGACATTCCTAGGGAGAGCCCGGCTGACACGCCTTAGGGCAGCGGGTGAAGAAGCAAAGTGTGGCAGCTTTTGCCCAGTCCTGTCATGCCATCTAGAGGCACCGAGCTGGCGTTTCTCTGACCTGGTTTTGGAATAAGGGACCGAGATGAAGAAAGGACTCTTGGTTTGGCTGACCTCAGGAACCCCCAAACCAACAGGGTTTCGACTGGAATTTCCTAGGCTTACTAATTCCCCAGCCTGACACCAGGTAAGGATCCAGGCTTTCCACCTGCCTTTCACAGCAACGGGGGAAAGTGCTCCTCACACCCAGTGACAGCCTGCCAACAAGGAGACAGACTCCTGCCTGGTCCCGTACGCCCAACCTCAGGGGAACACTGCTCCCCTTTCCAAACTCTCGTCTGAATGTATGCTTTTGTAACGTTCGCTTGGAAAACGCCAGCAAAGTGGGCGCCCAAAAGGAAACAACTGCAGAAAGTACAGGCGGCATTAAAGTGCCGCGAACCCAAGTTCTCTGTTCTTTAGAAACCGTGTTCTGTTCTAGTTCCCAGGGGTGTTCGCAAAAACCAGCGCTGACCAGGAGAGGGCAGCAGTGAGCCACCCATCACCTGCACTCGCAGGGCTGGGCCACTTTCTGGTCCGTGCTGAGTAAAACCCTTGGAGAGACTGGCGGCCCGAGGGCACACAAGGCTACACTCTGGCCTTCATGCCACCCCCTCCCGTGCACGCACGCACCACTCCGCGTGGGAGAACGACTTGGCCATGGCTCTCTGATGCTCAGGAGCTCTGCCTCCTCAGGTTAAAGGGAGATTCTCTCTGGTTTTCGTGAGGCCATGGACCAGGAAACAGAAAACCAGACGACAGGTAAGAACAGGGCGAGTTAGCAGACCAAGCTTCTCATTTTGACTCGAGGCCTCGAAGCCCACAGAGAGAGACTAACCGTTACCCAAGCTAGAGGCAAACAAGAACTGGGACCGGGGTTTCCCGATGCTCAGAGCATGTGAACAGTTGCACAATGAAAGCCCAGGACAGGACGCCTGGCGCTCCTGGCCCTGCCGCAGCCCTGGGGGTTGCAGCACCTGAACCCCACTTCCTCCCTCTATAAGACGGGATGGGGCTACTTCCTAATAGGACAAAACAAGGCCAGGAAAGCGAACACGTTTCAGCCCCACTTTTCCGAAGGAACTTCGTTCCCACCTCTCTTAACCCTGCTGCTGCTGAGCTGACTTGGGGGTGAGAATCGGGGGGGGGGGGGGGGCGCAGGTTAGCGAGGCACTCACACAGAGGCTGGTTTTCGTGAGGTTCAGGATGAGCATCTTCTCATTCAGCCTTTCCGGAGGCTCACATTTTACCTGTAAGAAGCCACTGGATTAAGGTTCAGACTGAGGCAGACAGGACCTCGTCTTTGACTCCTCCCCCCTCCCCCTGGGTGGGTGAGACCAAGGAGTTCCTGGCACCGGGAGCGGGAGCGTGGCTGGGCCAGAGTGTCAGAGCCGGGTGTGGGTGTGTCCCGCCCATCTAAGCCAGCGCCTAGCAAAGCCAGGAGGGAGCAGGGCCATTGGATGGCTGCTCCTGCTGCCCTAGCCCGGGGCCCGGGGCTGAAGGGAAGAAGAGAAATGCTCTTCTCGGAGAGAGCCCCTTCTCCCCACCCGGGTCTGGGCTCTCTGCGGCCCATCCCTGCCGGACTTACCCTGTCATTCCCAGGCGCTGAGGGGGAAGAAGGGATGCTGGAGTCTTGGGGGGCAGTGGGAGCCAGCGGAGTGCTGGAGCCTGTGGGTCCCCCAGGAGGCGTGGCCGCGGGTCCTGATGAAGCTGCTGCCTGCTGCAGGGGCTCAGACGTAGAGGCCCCAGTAGAGGGCCCAGCGACGGAGGAAAGGGTCCCCGTGATGGCTGGCACATTGCTGGAGATGGTTTGTTTTCCTTGTGAGGTAGCCAATGGAGCTGTAATTGGGAAAACAAAGGTTGTGAGAAAAGATGAGTGGTACCTTTAAGAGAAAAGACCGGCCTTTCTTGTTATTAGTTTCCTCGGGTCCTTTGGTCTTATCCCCCCACCTCCACCCCACCCCCAGCCCACCTGGGCTGCAAGCGGGAGTGAGCAAACCAGGAGGAAGAAAAGGCAGAGGGCAATTCCTGCAACCTGGGGCAGGGTGGGCTGGACTGGAGGAGCCCGCGTGAGAACTAGAGGAAAGGAGTGACAACAATGACAGTGACATCAGCAGCAACAGCCAACACGCACCGAGGCGCTGACTTCCTGGAGGGACTGTCCTGAGTGCCTCAAAGGTACTTTCTTAGTGGATCCTCACAACAACCCCAGGAGGCAGGTACCATGACTACCAGCTCGGAGGTTGGCCTAATGTCCTATGCTAACAAGTGGCCGAGCCAGGATTTGAATCCAGACGCACCGGATGCAGACCCTTGCTCTTACAGCAGGATTCGACCACCCTCTCCTGGCCTGGCAGTATGCACCTCGGTAAGCGCCTGGCTACCTGGGAGAAGCTTGAAAATGCAGATCCTGAGGCTTGCACTCAGAAGTTCTGATGCAATACCTCTGGCATGTCATGACCTGGAGGCTCATGACCCATCAGTGAGTTCCGAAATCAATTTACTGGGTTAAGACCAGCACTGAGAAAGAAAGAGGAAATGGAATGAACTAGGAAGTATCAGGGTGTGGATAAGCCCTGATTAGTGAAAACTTGTATCAGGATGTGTTACTACATGATGTGGATAAGGATAAGCCCTGATTAGTGAAAACTTGTATCAGTTATGTGTGCGTTACATGCATTTTACATGTGTGTGCCCTGCATCGCGGTGTAAAACCAACATGTATTCCTTATAGACTGCCGTCAAACACACTGGAGAAAGGCTGCTCTGGAGGACTTCTAATACCTCGCCACTGCCACCCACGAGTCTCGCCCACCAGCAGACAGTTGGCTTGTGTCTGTGCTCAGCCGGGCAGGGCACAGCATCGACACTCAGAACACACCGGGCTGAGTGAAGGTGGCATGTCTTTAACAATGTTTAACCCTGAGCATGGATCTCCGTCTTCCAGCTGAGCAACTGCATAGGTTCTGAGTATGTAAGTCTCTTGCCCTGGCTGGGTGGTTCAGTAGGTTGGAGCATCATTCCATACACCAAAAGGTTGCAGGTTCGATCCCCAACTGGGGTGCATACAGGAGACAACTGATCTATGTCTCTCTCTCTCTCTCTCTCTCTCGTCGATGGCCTTCTCTCTCTCTCTTTCTCTGCCTCACTCCCTCCCTCCCCTTCCTTTCTCTCTAAAAACCAAGAAAAAATATCCTCTGCTGAATATTAAAAAAATGAAAAATAAAAGTTTCTTCTTGCTTGAAAATAAAAGGCATTACTTACCTGGTGGGGTAGGTGTCCCCTGAGGTGTGCCTGCAACCCCCATCGGTGTGGTGCCTGGGCTACCGGAAGCCATCGTCATTTTGTTTGGCCCCTCAGGAGAGCTCCCTGGGGGACTCTGAGCCCCAGGGCCCGGGGTCGGTGGTCGAGTGCTTGAGGTGGTCAAGGAAGGGCCAGCAGAAGTGGGACCTGGGGTGTTAACCACATGTGCAGGTTGAGTGGTCGCCTGAAGTCCTTTCTTCGTGGCCATGATGTTTGTAGTAACACTACTTGGGGCCCCAGCTTGAGTTGTAGTTTTCATTTCATTCTGGATGCTTGTGGGTTCTGTCTTGGGCTTCGTCGTTGGGGCAGCCGTTGGGATAGTCTGGCCTGAACCTTGCTTTGGGCCACCCGCAGGGGTGGTAGTGCCGCCTGAGTCTGCTTTCGTATCTCCGCCACTGGATGCTGTCGTTGTGCTTTGCGTGGCTGGGGCTGGAGCCACCCCTGAGCCACTGGGTGATGTGCCCTGATCTCCCGGTGCTACAGCTGCGCTTTGTGTGACTGTGGCTGGAACCGTGCTTGGCTTGCCTGTGGCTGTAGATGTGGCTGTGGTCGCGGTGCCTGTTCACAAAGACAACACAGAACGAGTTAGGGCGTTAGCTGGCAGTGTTCTCTGCCCTTTTCCCCAGCTTCCCCAGGACCCAGGGGCCTTGCTCTGTCTCTGCCATCTGCCTCCCTGAAAGCCTGGCCCTTGACATGCCCAGATTTTTCTGAGGTTCAAGAAGCCTCTCACGGGGAGACAGAGAGTAAAGCAAAGTCAAGGGGAACTCTGCCGAATGAAAGGCGGGGCCAGCTAGTCCCGGTGCATGTGGAGCCACCGTGGACTCCCTGCTCCCCTTCGGCCCCATGCACGGGCCCTTGAAGTTTTCAATCCGCCCGCACAGACCCAGGCCGCGGGGTCACTGGGCCTCCTTCCCCAGCTCCCAGGCTCATGACCCTGAGGAGACCCAACAGACTCCTGCTTGTTGAAAGGCCCTGTTCTAAGCAGGAGAGAGACATGCCTGTTCTCAGGGCCGTGCAATCTGGAGGGAGAAACTGACAGTCAAGCTAATGTGACAAATGACTACTGAAGAGTAACAGTGAGACCACGAAGGAGGGACAGTGCAGTGTGTGTGGACTCCTTAGCGCGGTAGCTTAACCTTGTCAGGGGATCAGGGAATGAAGGTCCTCTACTTGTTTGTCTAACAAATTATTTATTGAGGGAGCCCTTCGAAGACGGGTTCTCTGTTGGGCCCTGGGATGCAACGATGAATAAAACATAATCCATAGCCTCAGGAAGCTTCCATCCCAGTGAGTAAGGCAGCGATTAAACAAGTAGACAGAACTTCGGAATCTCGGATTCTTGTGGCATGAACAAGGAAATGATACAGAGAACACGGCGGAGCTGTTTAGAGAGAGCGCTAAGGAAAGGAGCTCAGAGGTGACTGTTATGCTAAGACTCAAAGGATAACAAGGAGAAGGCTGTGTGGGGAAATGGGAGGAAAAGTATACCCAGTGGCAGTCATTGGATTTAAGGCCCACCTTGACTACATCTGCAAAGGCTATTTCCAAATAAGGTCACATTCCCAGGTACCAGTTATTGGGGATTAGGACTCAAACACAATTGAACCTTCTAATCTGCTCCCCCAACCCCACTTATTCCACTATTAAAACCAGGGTTCTTAGAAGTCAACTCTGCTTTAAGCAGAAAATGAATTTATTAAAAAGATAATGAGTTAGTTAACAAAAATCACTTGAGATGGCTGAAGAATGAGGCTTAAGTCATAAACTGCACCCAGAACTCTTCTCCTGAACTTGGCTGGTGAAGACACCACTTCCACCAGCACTGAGCATGGCTGGCTTCAGTTTACACCCCTGACATCATTAGTGTTAGATACCGACGAGAGAGCTCAGTCTTCAGGGATGCCATCAGTGAGAGCTTCCCCATTTCCTGTTATGCCTGTGTGTTAAGATACTGGGAGGCACCACAGAGGGTCCCTGGGCTCCGTCCACATTCCCCACTGCTACATTATGTCACCACATGCAGGATTCATAGTAAGATGAATACATCTTGTAAGGGTTAGGCTCCTATTTTGCCCTGAATGAATTCCTGGGTGACGCCGTGTGCTCTGTGGAATACCGTGATGGTGACTAAGGCACTCTATACGTCCGTGCCTCGTGTTGCTGACAGAACATGGCATCTGGGAAAACATACTCAGATCGAGACGTGTCTGTTTTAGCTGCCTCCCTACACCACGGCCACTTGTTCATGAGCCCCCAGAGCAATCATGATTAGGTGGAGGCAGAAAGAAACTTACTGAGGGGCACAATGGTCATCTTGTCCACCTGATTATCGAGAGTGAGAAAAAAATCCTCCAGTTCTATCCCAAGAAGTCCACCTCTATGACACTTCCATAAAACTCCTTGCACCGATCCTCCATTCACTATCCTAAGTTCCTAAACACCAATCAAAAAATCATTAGTTATTACCTATACATTTGGTCAGATCCTCACCTCAGTGTAGCTTACCTTCAATTAAAAAAAAAATCATGAAATATACTATTCAAAGTCCTGCCCATTGGAAGAACTTTTTACACTATCCTTTAGGGTCTCCCCTCAATTGGGCCTTTATCCCACAGCTGTCCACTCTTGCCAGGTCCTAGCATATTACATACATCAACAAAACTTTCCCTTTCTCAGACAACTGATCACGGGGAACTACCTTTCTTTGAGACTTTCAGGTATGAGGTGAGGGAAGGTGGCAGTGTGGCAGGAACAGGTGGGCTGAGGGTGTGGCCACCTTGTAATTTACACAAATCTGTTTTAGGACCAGCTCAGGTCTGGTCCTTTATAGACTCTTCAACTTGATCATGGAAAGCTGCAAAATAAACCCAAAGAAAAATAGTAGGAATGAAATAATAAAGGGAAAAGCAGAAATCAATGAAATAGAAACCAAGAGACAATAATAGCAAATATCAACAAAGCCAAAAATAGATATGTTCATTAACTAATAAAATAGTAAAGACTTTGGTGACGTTGATCAAAAGGAATATAACCCAGAAGGCATAAATACAAAATATGAACTATAATAACAGTTATTTATAGTATTGGCCATTATGAGCAAATGCTGATAAATTTGAAGCAGATGAGATGGACAAATTCCTAAGAAAAATACAACTTATCAGAGTGACTCAAGAAGAAATAGAAATAATAACTTGTCCTATATTCACAAAGAAATTAAATTGGTAGTTAAAATTCTCTCACAAAGAAACTCCAAGCCTCAATGCAAGGGTCAAATATTCTAACCTTACAAGAAATGTCTATAGCAGAGTTTGTTTTGCCTTAATATGTGTGTCTGTAAAAAGAATTCATTCATAAGCAATTGTCAATCAACAAAACATGAAAAGTACAAACCAAGAAAAAAGGCACATTTGGCTTCACCAGAATTAGGGACCCATGTTCATCAAAAGAAACCACAGGACTTCCAGTTTCAGCTAATAATGATAGTTGGGGGAAAAACAAACAAAACAACAACAACAACAAAAACAAACATAAAAATAACATCGCTCCTACCCTTACAACAAGAAAAAAGCCGGAGAAACAGACAACTAACAACTCTTCTTGAACCTGCGGGAGAACTGAGGTCATGAGCAAACAGCTACCCTGAAAGCTGAACGTTGGGGGCAGGCAGCTGCGGGGAGAAACTGGGCCTGAGCATTCGCTACCCAGGACGAAGTTAGGCAAGAACACTAAGCATTTTTAATGAACTGGTCAATGGTCAAGGCCGCATGTGAGCTGGTGTGGAAGCGGGAAGCCCTGGGAGCTGCAGACATTGAAAGGTTCAAACCCTTTTTAGGTTTCCCCCCACCCAGGAACCCTGCAGGCTCATCAGGAAGACTGGGAAAAACCTTGAGAAAGTTCCCCTGTGGGGCTGGCTACAGAAAGTCAACAGGAGCCACTGCTGAAACACCGTGTAGGCTGACATCCCCTGTGAGGGGAAAAAGCCTTACTTTTCAGTGGAAGTCAACAAAATTCACAGCCTGAGGGCACTGGTGGGAGGAAACCGACAGCCACCAATGCCACCAATGAAACGCTGCCCAATTTCATGTTCCCTATTTCTGCTAGGAAATCAAAGAATTAAACTGCAGGAGAAAGGCAGAGAAGTATAGCCGGGAGGCAGTGGTGGAAACCCCGTTGCAGCTGGGAAAGGGAACAGGAAAATAAAAGCGCTCTCTACCCCTGGAGAGGGCAGGAATGCGTGCTAAGTCCAGCTTCACTTCTAGAAAAGGCAAGGAGGCCACACCCTCGAGCCCCGGGTTCCAGGGCCTGTGTAAGACTGATGTTACTCAGAGCATCAGAAAACGCCCTTCCCACCATTAATGCAAATGCTAGCAAGTGTGCAGTGAAAAGTGGAGCCCGGAGGGAGCTGGAGAGACTCTCTGGGGAGCAAGAGAAAGGGAGACCTACAGCCAAGCAGGGAAACGAACCGGTACTATTCACAGGACTTGCAGCCTCTGCTGCAACAAGTCTCAAACCCACCCAACCTCTTACCTAGAGGAGCGCAAACTCGCACACTGAAGACATAGCAGAAGAAAAGCCATGTGCGAGGCAACCGATAATCTCTCTGACTCCGTGGCTTTGCCTCTGCTGGTCATTTCACACAGATGGAATCACACAGGGACTATGACTCATTCAATGAGTAGCTTCTTTCCCTTAGTATAACGTTTGTTTTTGGTTTACCCATGAGCATGTCAGTTCTTTATTCCTTTTCATTGCTGAATGCCATTCCACTGTATGGATATGCCACAGTTGTTTATCCACTCATCAGCTGATGAACATCTGGGTTGTTTCAACTTTTCGGCTATTATGAGTAATGCTGCTACACATTTGTGCACAAGTTTATGTGTGGACATATGTTTTCATTTCTCTTGGGTATATACCGAGCAGTGGAATTTCTGGGTTACTTAAGGTAAGTCTATATTTAGCATTCTGAGGAACTGCCAAACTGTTTTCCAAAGTGGCCGCACCATATTTATTACATACCCACCAGCAATATATATGAGGGGTCCAATTTCTCCACATCCTCCCCAACAATTGTTGTCATCTGTCTTTTTTGTTATAGCCATTTTAATGGACTATAATGGATCGCCCATTGTGGTTTTAATTTGATCTTCCCTAATGACCCACTAAAATCCAGCAAGATATAAAAAGGCTAATACATCAAGATCAAATGAGGTTCATCTCATGGCTAGTTCAGTATTTAAAAACCAATCAATGCAATTCATCATATTGACAATAAAATAAGAAAAATCATATCATCTTATTATATTCATAAAATTCCTGACAAAATTCATCATTCATGGATAATAATAATAAAAAAAAAAAACCTCAGCAAACCAGGAATAGAAGGAAACTTTCCTAACCTGATAAATGATATCTCCAAGTAACCCTTCAGCCAACATCATAATTAATGGGGAGGGACTGAATGCTTTGCCCTTAAATTTGGGAACAAGGCAAGTCTGTACTCTCTCATCACTCCTTTGAGCATTGTAAGAGAAGTCCTACCCAGCTCAATAAGAGAA